ATATAATATAATATAATATAATATAATATAATATAATATAATATAATATAATATAATATTTTTAAAATATTTAATATACTATAATATATCTCTATCACTAATTAAATCAATCACTAAAATGTAACTATACAGTTTATTTCAATTTTTTAGTATTATACCTATTTTGTAATTGTTTACTTCAAAACAGTTGACAGATGCTGTATCTCTGTGGCGCTGTATCGTATTTCCGGACTCCAAATACAACCATGAGTATTTGCGGCCTATAGTTAGAGGTAGAACAGATCACGTGATCAATGCGACCGCTCTGTGTGTCACAGCTCCATGTGTTCGACCTGAAGCACATGAATGTTCCGGGTTTCGGGCTTGTGTGTGAATGGATATGACCTTAACATCAGAAGTTAGCAACAGTTACAGCCACATATTTCAGTCATGTTTTTTTAAATGACTGTTTTAAATATTAAACGCAGAATACCGCGTCGTCTCTGTGTTGGGTTCACGAGCACCTCGTTAATGAGACACTTGGAATAACCATGCAACAGTGCACACGTTATCTCATCTTTTTTCAATACATTGGGACAAAGTATAGGTATGTAGCTCTGAATTTCCATATATACCAGTTTATATTGTATTTGTTTGTAATAATGATTATAAACAATAAATACCTGATAATGTTTTCGCAGTGGTGCAGTCAGAGTTCCTCCTCAACAGCTGCCGGCAAAAGGGATACAGAATTACTTAGAGGTAAGACATTTGTAAAATCTACAGGGCCGGATCTACACCGGTGGGTTAGGGGAGGGGCAAAACTCGGGGTTAGGGGCCACGTTCTCTCAAGTTAGTTGATTTTTTTTTACATAAATTAATCAACAAAAAATGAATCAATGAAGTTATTTACCATCAGAATCACCCGTGTAGCTCACTATGTTTTGCCAGTAGTCCTCAACAGAGAAATATGAAATTATCATTGAAGTATAGCACATCTAGATATGAGCATTATGGGATAATTCAACAGTTCCAGATGTTATCCATGCTTCCTTTACACAAATAGTACACTGTATATTATATTGTGTATTTTTACACAAGGGGTTTTATATATATGTAAACACCACATAAACAATTATCTTTTTTTATATTTATTAACAGCAAATTAACTATCATTTCTCTGGTCATCTTGTTTTTTGTGAGCAGGATGCAGTAAGGAAGCTGAGACCCCTCAACCCTGTGTCTCTGTCTGTCTCTAGCAGGACTGACACTGGGGTCCACGCCCTTTCTAACTCCGCCCACTTTGACCTGCAGCGCAAAAAAGACCAGCCACCATTTACTGAAGACATTCTCGTGAAGGCCTTAAATTATCATCTTGGGACAGAGGAAATAAGGTGAGAACAGAGAATCTAAACAACCAAGGCTGTTCTTTTATACTTTTGATACATCATCAAAATCTCCTTTTCTGACAAAATCAGACTTTAATCACGTACCGCGCTGAGTGGGGAGAAAACATTGGTTTCAAGTGCAGTTCTGTGAACAGTCTTTGTGTCTGTCTCTGTCAGACAAAGCTTTGCTGGAGTCACTTAATAAAACATTCTCTGTGGTGAGAGTCTGTCTGTTGTGTCTCACACTTACAATTATCTAAGACTAGATTCTGTTGTGAGTGTAATATTCATGATAGTTTAATTAAAAATGATTTCCCCTGACATGTTGGCAACTGTTGCATTTTCTTTCCTTCTCCACTTTGTTTTCGCAGGGTTACCCATGCCCACCGTGTCCCTGATAACTTCCATGCTCGATACTGTGCCAGGTCACGAACCTACGTCTATCGCATCGCCCCAGGAATCTCCCATCCCACAATGCTTCCCCTCACAGAGCACAATCTGTGCTGGGGCTTCTGCAACACGTGAGTTCTCTTTCATCATCGCTGTGAAAAAAAGTCAGTCCCTGTGCCAGGGCTAGAAACAGTGATGTGTTGAACACATGAATAATCCACACATGCCGTGTCTCAACCACATGGGTGGAAAACTGCAGGAAAAAGGAGGACGACAACCAGAGTATCAAGAGTAGAACAGAGACAGAGCAGCACGGTTTTAGAAAATGTTCTTTTCACTGCACTTGAGCACCAGGAATTGTACAGAGAGCATATGTAGCAGCATCTGTCTTGTCTCTGCCTTTTTGGGAGGAAAAGTAGGGCAGGATAAGCTGCAGGCTTGTACAAATGCAGTGCAACACCCACACTCATTATCCTGACTGTGTGTTTTTTGGGTTGTTTTTTTTTTGCCTGCTGTCTCTTTTCGTCTCTCCCTCCTTTTTTTCCTTTCACTGTTTCTCTAGTGTCTCTGCTGCTTTAAATCTTAGCGTCTCTCTCATCCATCCAGCTCTGAGTGTCTCTGCCTGAGCGACTTCTCGTCATTCTCCCTTTGATCTTCTTCTCCTCACCACTATTTATTCTTTTTATTTAACTAATAGAAAAAAAACGTAAAAGGCTACTATAAAAGCTACATTTATTCTCAAAATCTTGCTTTTCTCAAACATGCATTAAAAATGACCCTGAAAGATCAAAGAGTGACTTTGAACCCACAGACTACAGTAGAGTCTTTTCAGTTAATACAGTAGTAGGTGAATGTTTAGGTCTCTGTTGATCACATGTTTGATTAACTATTTAGTGGTAAATGATAAACATTTCATAAATGTTTGTTATTAAAAGTAATGCAAAAATGGAATCAAGTCATATTTGAGCATCATTTCTATGCAAAAAAAGGACAAAAAATGTTTTTTGGTGAACCATCTCCTAAAGACTTGAAACTGGTGACGCAAGAGAATTATTCAGCACAAGAGTCTCGCTCTGTTTCACACTCTCTGTCAGATTTTATTTAAACACTGACGTGTACGCAGCGTAACCCTGCCGAGAATCAGAGCCTTAAGGCTCACCCTTTATCTTCCCCTCTCTCGCTCCCTTTGCCCTCCCCTCTCTTCTTGATGCTTTCCTTGGTCTGTGCCTTTATACACACTGTTGTCTGGAGCTCATTGTAGTTGCAGTTGCAGCTACTGAACATCACATGATTCGGTCCGTATCATTTTCAGTGTGTATTTCAGTCTAGAGTGGAGTCAAACAAATCACAGGATTTGTCTCCTTCTTGATGTGTGTGCCCAGGGAACTGGACATAGGAGCCATGCATGAGGCTGCCGCCCTGCTGGTTGGGACCCACGACTTCAGCACTTTCAGAGCAGTCAGCTCTGACTTGCCTTTTAAGAACCCTGTCAAGACACTGGAGGTGGCCGACATACGGCCAGGAGCCTCCTTCTGTCTCTCACATTTCCACAGGTGAGTTTTACACCAAATATAAATCAATATCAACCCTCTCTGTATATTCTTTCATTCTTAATTATAGAGATAAATCCAAAGAACCAAAAGCTGTGTAAAACTCCATGTGTTTCACCCTTTTGCATCAACCACTCCAGAGGAAGGTTTAAATCAATTCTCTAAATCGTTTCCTGTCACTTCACTCAGCCACCTCTGCAGGCACTGACTTAAAACATCTCGCTCCCAAGCATTAGTGCGACTCAGTGGTGCATTTGATGGGTTGAGGGGTGACACACAGGTCAAATAGATTTAGAGAATCTTTTATTCTGTTCAGAACTATTACTCAATGTTTGCCCATAATTGTACACCTACATAAATGATGTTATCATCAAAGCTGCATTTCACTGGACCATCAGTAAAGGCCGGAAAGGTTAGTTTAGGTCAAACAAGCAAAGTTTGAGCAGTTTGAGAAGGCAAAGGCAAAGTCAAAGGATTTGAACTTACAGTATAACACCTGAGTTCAGGTTGGAGATTTTACACCACCAGAGGTCGCTGTACACACCCGGTATTGCTGTAGGATCATCAATTATTTGTCACAAATATGTTGCAGCAGATGGACATGGGCTGCAGCTGTCAGGATAAATGTCACTCAGGCCAACAACGCTAACACACAGGCGTTAACAACTAGTTGAGTTCCAATCATTTAACTTTCTGTGGATGAATCTGCAAACTAACCATGAAAATAGTAGCACAGGCACATGTGAACACTGGTTTCACTGTGTTAATTAAGATGAGCAAATCGTCTTGTGTCACAAAGGTACAAAGTAAAAATAAAAGAGCTGATGGCGACTCATCAGGGAAAGAAGAACGCTGACTTCAGGAAGCTACAAAAAAGAAACCAGTCTCAATGCTGAAGTCAACAACCAGGCTGTTTCAAGTTATAGGATGTGATAAGTCACATTGAAGGTTACAAAAAAAAAAAACACGACTCTCAGCAGGGTTGGAAAGAATTCCCATTGACATGACCTTCAAAATCGAACCCTAATATTTATTTATACATTTAATTACCATGAATAAGGATAGGGTGTTCTGTATTTGGTGATACAGGAATGGAATAACGGATTTTATAACATTTTTGACAGTAGTGAATGATGTCATTTAAACAGAACTCATTATGTCAACATTAGACTCAAGCATTAGACACTAGTGAAGGAGCGGAAAGATTCCCTGTTTAAATCAGACTCTGTTCTCCTTACATCTCAAATGTATCCAGACGGGGAGGATTGTGAGGCATTTGCATTTGACCCAATTCTTTTTTTTATTTGAGTTCTTTTTCCCTCCAAAAATAGTGTTCAGTCACAGATTTTTGGGTGTACGTATTACAGATAAGACAGGATTATTTCTTCAGCTGTGACATTTGTTACCAGTCAAAAAAAATTGAATATATATATATATATATATAAATACACACACACACATATATATAATAAAATATTGTAACATTATTAAATATGCCCAATAAATAATGATAGTAATAATGTTCAAATAAACAAACTTACTACATACTGAAATGACGTATTCTGCTGTACAGAAAATGTATCTAATGAGCATTTATTTCAATTTTTAGGACTATTCCATTCTGGGAACTGACATTTCGCAGCAAATCTTTTCTCTACAGACAGGTGTGTTCCCCTTTTTTTCCAAAATCACGTAAAAACGAAAGTTATATTTGTTTGATTGTGTTGCCATCTACTGGAGATGTTTAAAAAAACAACAGGTTCACCACAACAACTCAATATGTCTGTAGAATAGAGTAAAGTAAAGTCTGTGCTCCAGGTGCGGCGGATGACCGGGGCCCTGGTGGCCGTGGGTCAGGGTCGGCTCTCAGTGTCACAGCTGAAGGATCTTCTGGAAGCTCAGGATTCTAATGCCTATCCACAGGGTTTGACTGCTCCTCCTCAGGGCCTCTTCCTCACCAGGGTGGACTACATGGACTCAGGTGAGGAGGTCACTGTTAGCAGTGGTAAATGTTGGATAAGAAAAGTCACACAGAGAAGCTTGTTCACTTACTAAATGTCCTAATGACTGTAGATTTCTCATGAACAATATTTTCACAGGCAACTTACTAAGTTTGATGTGCTCTATCTGACCAACTAATCCGAGTTGTTGTCCTTAAAACCCTTTAAAACAACCTACCTATAATTAAGGGCTTAATAATATTATAATAATTAAAACATTAATAATTAATAATAATCAAACTATTTCCCCCCTCTCAGATCTTCAGCTGTCGGAGGAGAGGCATCAGACCACTGAAAACTCAGAGGATTAATTTATTTCATCACGTATTCAATGTATACTTGTTATTTTAATAAAGTTTTTGTATTTTTAAGAATCATCTCCTAATTCAAAACAAAGTGCAGCAGGTCTCAAATAAGTGCTTTGGCGACACCTAATGGAAATAGGAAACGACTTTCATACAAATCTCAGACGACATATGGACATCTATGTTCTTTTATTTCAACATGTTAAAGACATAACTGTCCATGAATGCAGCTCAGCTACAGAATACCACACACTTTCGACCCATCATTGTCTACACTTGACCTTTGGGTTACACAGACAACTTGTCTTAGCCTGGTTAGGCACTATCACTGTGTATATATACACATACGTATGTGAACTGGGTTTGTAGGCTGTCACAAATATCAGAGTATACAAGGAGAGTGAAGTGTTAAGTTCTATAGCCAAAACTGCTTGGAGTCCATGTTCGCTTGTTTGTACAATGACAGTGAAGAAAGTCAGTGCAAACACACACACACATTCACTGAGTACGTTTTCATCCAAATGTCTCCTCACGTCTTCAGATACCAAATTTGTGAAGTCCATAAACAGTCCATTGAAATCTGACCACCGCCAGTCGCATTCTGTGCCAGAGGAAGCCAGATGAGGTTTGTAGAAGGTTCAGACTGACCAATCACTGCCCTTGCTGTTCCAGCGCTGTGACCAAGACAGCAGACGTCACAACATTTTTCATTAATTTCGTCCAGGCAACTAAAGTTGACTGATTTATTTGAGAAGTGCTGCGTCTGTCAGAAAAAAAAAAATTGAACCTCA